GCATGTGCAACATTTCACCCAGCCAGGGCTGTCAGTTCCGTTCACCCTACTAGATTGACGGCGATGAGTAGTAAGTGAGGAAGTATTGCATGAAGTGTGGTACGTATTTGTAGAAGAAGAAATAAAGTTCACTGCGTCCCTAGTCCATGACTTTTGTTTTAATTTAAACTATGATGCCTGTCCATTGAATATGAATAAGAGTACATGATTTTTGTTTTCAAAATTTTTTAATTTAAACTACGGATGGGCGTTTATTATAGGTGGATGTCCTTCCATAGTAAATGGACTCCCGTCTATATAATATAGACGAGAGTCCATTGTTATTTTCACATGGACAGGAGTCCATTTAAAATGAATGGCTGTCCAATAATAATGGATGGTTGTTCATTCGCAAAATATTTGTTAATATATTACGTGACTTGTTTAACTTAGGTGACACATCGTTCAGTGTAAAATTTCGGTGTAAAACATCAGTGTCCGTTGAATTATTGTTTTTTCAAATGCACATATGGCTAAATATCGAGACTCTGATATTTGTTTTGTTGCGAGACAAATTTCAATTAGAACCAATAACTAATAGCTGAATTTATAGTTCTTAAAGGTGGTACCAGCATAATATTTTGAGAGGTGAGAAATACAGTTGGTGGATTAATTAATGTGACAAGGATTACGAAACCAACTTGTGCCAGACATTCCATTAGTCAAGTATGAGAAAACATTTTCAAATAAGATAATATTAATGGGTGTTTGGTTGGGGGTTATCTGAGATAATTAGGGTTAAGTAATCTTATATTATTTGATTACTATGTTTAGTTGTCAAGTAATATAAGATACCAGTAATCTTCAAATACTAATAGTAATTACTATTGGTAATATTAGAGGTAATCTGATTACCTCAATTTTCTTAAGTATTCTAAGATTACTAGGGTTATCTTTTTTTTTTTTGTTACAATTCTATTCCATATTAGTAAAATTTTAGGACAATAATGCTCTTATTTTTAAAACTTATTTTCATGAATATGACTTTTACTATTTCACCCAAATTAATTAACTTTTTGGACAAAATTACCCTTGAATTCAAAACAAATTGCAGCCCACCCAAGCCACCACCCCCACCCACCTGCTACTGGCAACCATTGCCGCGGCCAGCCGCTGCCTTAGCCAGAACAGCAGCCGACAGTGGCTGGGTTGGTGGGGTGTTTTGTTGATTTTCCAAACTTCTATTATAGGGTTGTTTTTGCTAAGTTTTTAAATGCAGGGGGTTATAATAATACAAATAATATCAATATTAAAATAAATAAAATAATATATTTAATTAGAGGACAATTCGGTAATTTAAATAACATACCCACCAATTTATTCTCCTAACCAAACGTATAATATAACATACTCGCCAATTAACCAAACACATTTTTCTAAAGATTCCCAATAATCTTCAAGGTAAACTAATTTCCAGTAATCCACATTCCCTGAACCATACGCCCCCTAAGTATTTAACCACTATTGATTGGGCTGGTGGTAAAAGAGCAAATGGTCTAACATGAGTTCTTGAGTTTGAGTCCTCCTATGCATTATAGGGGGACTATTGAGAGAATTTATCCAGCCGTTCACTTTAGGCTCTGGGGGATCAGTTGAGATACGCGTAACTAGCTCGGACACTCTCAGTCACTAATATATTATATAATATATATATATATATATATATATATATATATATATATATAAGAGTATTTTAATTAGTGTCAAAACCATTTTTCAATCTTGTTTTAGTTTTTATGATAGAGAATTTTATAGAATGCTTCTCTATGATAAGCATAACTAATGAACTATTTGGATGAGAACGTTCTCATATGGAAAAGCTTTATAACTCCACTATATAATTGACCAAACGTTAATATCTCCACAATCTAGCATATCAAGATAATACTCTTTATAAGTGTAAATATTATGCTTAAGGAAGGATAAAATAGTACCTTGAGAAAAAAAGATACGAGAAGGATAATTTAATACCAAGTTAGTTGCGTTGTTGTCCATGGGGGACCAAAGCTTGCCTTTCATTTTCCACTACACTTTATTGTTATGAGCCGGCTATCCCTAAAATTAATTAATGAAGCACCACCACATAAAACAATTCTATGCACTTTACCAACAAGCTAACATATGGACACAACACGCTGATGTTTCTTTTTTATTTCCATATTATATTTATTGTATGAGCTGTTTTAATAATTTATTCAAAAATATAATTCTCTGTAGGGGTTACTCTTCTTCTTCATTTTTTTTTTTTTTTTTAAGGAAAACAATTTAGAAGCACCCCTCTTCATTAAAGAAAAAAAAAATTAAGGGTAGTTTTCAGTAATCTATTAAAAGTATTAGATAAGGATATGACCTTTAAGAATCTCTTAAAGGTCTAGGATAAGTTTCCTTTTTATTTAGAAATTTTTTTTCCCTAATAATGATCACGAGGGTTTCATGATCTTTACTTTTGGCACAAAATAATTAAAATAAATTAACTAAAAGAAAAAAAAAGAAAGTTAGGCAAAAGAGAGGGTTGGATATAGACCTGGTAAAACGAGTTTGGACCCGCTGGTCGACCTTAAACCCAAGTAGAAAATATAGGGTGTGGGTCTTTAATATTAGACCTGTTTTTCTTCAACACGTACCCGACCCAGCCCAGCCCGTTTTGCCAACGGGTCAAGTGGGTACACCCGCAGGTGTCCATGGGTACCCGTTTGTTTTTTTTAAAAAAAAAACCCTTTCCCCTTTTCATTTTGGCCCAAATCGCAAAATCCCTAACATAATTGAAACTCACTCTCTCATCAGCCTTCTCTCAAACTCATCGTCATCGAAATCCCTAACTTCACTGTCGCCGCTTCTCCTGTCTCCGCTTCTCATCAGCCACATTTGTAGTCTCCACTGTCGGTGCATCAAGGTATGTGTATCACCGTCACCGATTTGATCTCATCTCCTTCGTCTTTAATCTTCACTCTTCAGCAGCTCCAATTCTTGGAGTTGATTCTTCGGTGTCTTCAGCTGCTCCTTGACTACAATCTAGTAACATTGAAGGTTACTCTTCTTGCTCTATTGTTATTGTTTGCAGATAACAAATGTCAATCATTTGTATTCTTTTAGAAACCACTGTAACATGAATCAAACTAAATCTAGAAGTTTTTCTAATTTGTCTTGTCTCCATTTCCTATACTTAGTAGATACTTTCTAGCTTGTGTCGCTGTTGCTTTTCTTGTGTAATTTTTTTTTTTTTTTCAGATTCTTTTATGTGGGTTTATTTGGTTGATGAAGAATGAGAGGACAATCGGTAAAGTTTTTTTACCTTTTTCTTTGTTAGGTTATAAGTTTCTGTTTGGTGGTAATAAAACTTGGGAGAAAATAATGTAAGGAACTTTTTTTTTTTTTTTTTTTTGGGCTTTTTTGTGTGTATGGTTTTGGTTCGTGATTGGCAGCTCAGAAAACTAGGGAAAATGATTCTAAATTGTGGGAAAAATGAAAAGAGATCATATTGATTTATCTAAATCTTGTGTTAGCCGAGTTCATCAAAATTAATTATTTAGAATTTCAGTTATTTTCTTTTATGTTAAAGGATTCAATTTAGATCTAAAATTGGGGATTAGAGATTTTTATTTGGTTTAATCTGATTCTCCTTATTCGTTCTGATGATAATTTGAATGATTATAGAAATTTGGATATGTTTTTTCTGAATTAAAACTGCATTGGGTATAAGAGTATTTTTGTTTGGACTTGAGAAAGGCAAATTTTGCTCAAGAATCAAGATTTTAGGAAGATTTGGGGATGTAACTGCAAAAATTTAAAATTGGAGTGAACAGTATGGGCACCCATGGGTCCACCCGTACCCGCATAAGGTAGGATATGGGTCTAAAATATTGGACCCGTTTAAATCAACCTGTTTTGGGCCTATACCCGTAAGACTAGCACCTGTTTAGACCTGACCAATACCCGGTCCGCCCGTTTTGCTAGGTCTAGTTGAATATAGCATATCGCCTTTAATTTTCCCATAAATTAGTTAAAGCTCACAAAATAAAAACAAAATATATTGAAAACAAATAAATAATTGGAAAAAGTTGGGAGTGACACACAGAGGGCAGCATTTCCAGACACAAGAAGCAAAAATCAGAGTTAGAAGAGAAGGATGAAGGGTTATCCGAAGATAAACTAAAGCATAATTATTGATAAAAAGAATTTCATGATACTTATTCACTGTAAAGAAAATATGATCTTCAACATCATTCCACAAAAGTACGGAAGGTGAAAGATATTACAATATAACATGCAATTTATATATATATAAGCATAGGATCAATGGTTAGACTGAGATATGTTGATGAAGGGTCAATATCATTTACTATTTATGATTGGATTTGTCATGATTTAGTAAACAAGTTCTACTGAAAAACATTATGATGTTTCAGAGAAATTATTGCAGAAAATTTGTTGCCTGATGTTCTATACAAGAACTTCCAAGCAAAATTATGGAAAAAAAAGTGGACAATACTTTTTCATGGCAAAAGCAAGCAGAACAATTAATTGTCCAATAAATGTTTTAGTTGTTTGGTTTAATTTAAACAAATAATTGCAAAAGGATTTGGTATAATACTATTGGAATTATAATTTTAACCAAGATTTGAAATGATGGCGTTGAGTAATGCATTGTCTGTTCTTGAACAGAAATTAAAAAAGGCCCAGTACAACTCTCTCACTTCACAAAAAGACAGCAACCCAGTCAAAATTTTGTATGGACGGCTATTCAAACACCTTCCTAAATTGCAATTATCAATTCCACCACCAACCAAATTAATCGTAATGCTCATCTCTCTTCCCTTCAAGTAAAAAACAAAACGGAGTTAATTCTTCTTACCTGTCCCTCACAGTCACAGGCAGCAATAAACTCTATCCATTTCGTACTCACCTTACATTATAATATAAATACATACTGAACAAAATCCATGTATTCAAAACACACCTTGCCGGCCCAATACGCAAAATCTGATGATAAAACCCACAAAGCATACGCGGAGTTATTGTTTCACTTCCTTCATACTTTCTTGTTTAGATCGAAACATGAAGTTCCTTTGGTAGAAACCTTGGTTATTGGTTTTTACTTGTAATTTCTCCTGGCCTGTTGACAAAGAATGAAGAACGTTTCCAGAAATAAATTTCTGCTTTGTTTTAGGCCCGTCGTTGACATGGACTTGGTGCTTGAGAGTGAAGGTGGTATTGATCGCTCCCGAAAAAACCAAACTTTAAAGTATATCGCGGCTGAAAACAACTATTCGGCTTCAGAAGATAATCAGTCCTCAAAAAGTGCTAAGAATTCCATGGTGATTCGTCATCCTTCACAGCGAACCTTTTCAAAAGTGATCAAGGCTGTTCTGTTTGAGACCATATTGGTTAGTTCATTAATCTTATTTTATATACTTGCATATTTACCAGCTAGTAGTGTTTACAGCTTTTGTTTTTCTTTCGGATGATCAATCATAGATGTTTAATTAATTTCTGGTTTATATTAATTTACAGGCTAAGAGAGTTCATGATGGAAAAAATTTGAGCCAGGACTCATTCAAGTCATCATCAGGTCGTAGTTTTTCGAGGCAAAGGTCAGGAGATGATAAGTCAGTGAATCGTGCTAATTCAGTTGATACTCTTAATTTTCAAGAAATCAAAACCAATCAAGTATTGTTTTCTCAATTATCAATCGGGTCATCATCATCGTCTTGTTCAACAAGTACTTCACTATCAGAACCAAAGAGACAAAACCAGAACAGTAACAACAACAGTCTGGTGAAGCGAAGAAAAAAGGACTACATGGGTAGTTCCTCGAGTTTAAACTATGCCATAATCTTGTTGCTACTAAGTCTCAGTTTTACAATTTTATGGGGCCGGCTTTGTGCAATACTTTTCACATCAATCTGGCTTTATTTTGTTCCTCGGCAAAGTGGTTCAAGGCCCGGTGATGCCGAAGTTAGAAAGTTGAGCAAAAGAGGTGTGTCTAGAGATTACAGGAAGAGGATCATAATGGAAGGGCTGCTAGAGAGGAACCACCAAAGGGAGGGTGCATTAAATTTTTGACGTGAAAATTCTCTTTTTCGTGTTTGATGCAAACTTTTCAGAACTTATTCTCTGGCTGTAAATTAATTAAAAGTTATATCAGAGTACACAAAAGGAACCAAACAAACACGAGCTTCTTGTGTTCTCTGCTGCTTCCTTTTAGCATTTTTGGAGTAGAGAGAAATTAAGAAGCTTTCTCTCTCTTTTGTATTATTATAATTTTCCAATTGGTTTTATTTGAAGGATCAAAAACAGTAACTAATGAAATTCAGACCTCTTCTAAGAAGATCATCATTTTTTCCCCATTAATTAAGTATAGCTGTTTCTTTATCGCTTATTTAAACTTAAATGGTGGGTGACCGTGACTATATATTCTGTCCTCGTTTCTACATCTTTTGGGCAGATTGAGATGTTCATCAATGAAGAATTATTTAAGAAATGATTGAGTTGATCAAAATAATCCGAGTCTTTTAAGCTATTTAAAGAATCATAGTAGTTTCCCCATTCAACAGATCGACTACCGTTCCCTATTCTTTATACTAGGCTTTTGTGAAATGTGAACTACTTTTATTTAATCTAGAACACATCTTTTTCTGGTCTTCTTTCCAACTGATTGATTTAGTATTCTGTGACTGTCTATGCTTGTGGATTCTTTGTTTAGAAAATTATGAAAATGCAGCCACTAGCTTTGTGGCCCAAGTAAAGCCTGCAGCATGCGACTATACCACACCAACTACTTGTATTGGAAACCTTTTATTTTCTCTGCTTCAATTTTCATACTGGTTTTCTATCACAAAATGCAGCCTAATATCATATTACTTTGTATAATTAATCAATTATAAATATTTAAAACATTATGCACTCCAAGACAACTTCTACATTACATTTCACTATCACTATTACATCACTTAATAACAATTAATTATGTATTTTAATATAACTTAGATGTTATAATTAAATGATGGAATTTTGATTGACAGCTAAAAAAATGTGATGTGATTTTGAACCTCAATATCATCCTTGTATTTTTGTGTAACCAAAAATCTTTAAAATTGGTGAATTAAAAGGTGGAAATCGGAACCCATGAAGGTCATATCTCATAACTATAAAGTACACAAGTGCAAAATAGTGGATTGAGATCACTTTGAATATACAAATAAAAAGAGAACAGAAATGAGATATTTAATTAAATATAATAAATTAATTTTAAATGGTTGTCGGCTAGTGGTGCCACCGTGTGAGATGGGAGTAGTTGAATTAAACGCTCACCTCGTGAAAATGAAGGTCTCCTTTTAATGCCAAAGGGAAAGGATCAAAGGAATAAGAGTAGGCAAATGGCTACCACTAGTTTCTTTCTACAGAGAAAACATTGAAAGACTTTTTTTGAGTTTTGATTTTTGAATTGATTCATAATAAATGAAGAATTAATGCATCGATAATTTCAAATTAGTTGAATGAAAACACTTGCATCAATGGGAAAAAAACATATTCAAATACAATAAAATAAACAAATCTCGTACAGCCACGTGTACCGTCGCAAAGGAAAAGACAATATATTATGAAACAACTTCCTTAAACTAAACAAGTAAGAAGATAAAGATAAAGAGATGATATGGCAAACATAAGAAATTGAAGAAACTCTTGACAAAGAGAGCAGATACCAATTTACGATGGAGGATTTGTCTCCCTTTTGTTGCGATATCACAACATATCTTAAACATCCAATTTAACCAAAAATTAAATAAATTTGATCTCCAACAGCTTAATTTTAAGAACAGCTTACTAAAATTTGATCGTCAGCCACAACAGTCGTCACATGCGACTGGTTTTCGTCGGTCTCCATCGGCGAATGACCACTAAACGATTGCTAAGACATAGGGATTTTGTAGATTTGGAGACGCTAGTTGTAGTGGTGATGTCCAATTGGATTTTTATCACAGGAAATTGACTGGAATCCAACGATTGGAGGGCCCAATGAGTCGGGAACCAGAGGGGTTTTGGACTACAGACGATGGGGAAAGTGATGGAGGTGATCAGGGGGTTCGCCGCCATCGGAAATAGCCCAAATCCGGTGAAAACTGAGATGGTGCGCAGTCACTGAGGGTATAATTGAAGTAATTTCAAAATAAGATGGTTAATTTTATAATTTTAGTAATTTAGGGGTTTAAACATAATTTATTAATTTAGGGTTAAGGGCATTACTGTAATTGCAGCCTCACTACCCTAAAAATTGTTAACAATGTTATTTTAAGGGTGGGAATCTGGAATAAATGGAACTTGGGATATCAACTTGCGATTCGTTTACTCTAAAAAAGATAAAAGAAATACTTCAATTGTTGTTTATATATTGAATTGTGTTGTACTCTTTACAAGTGATGAATTTATACAAAAACTAAAGAGCTAACAAAGGAAATACAATTAAAAGGAAATCAATTACATGAATTTAGCATCAATCAATTAATTACTTGTAATCAGCCTTGATCAATGATGCTAAATATCTTCAATTAGCCATAAATCTAATTGATTGATGATGCTAAATATCTTCAATTAGCCGTGATTTCAACATGCATTTCATATTCCATCACCCCCTCTCAAGCTGGTGGTTTGTAAATGTCAAATACTCCAAGCTTGTGAAGTACATATGAATGTTGACGACTGCATAATGGTTTTGTAAAGATATCTTTTGGTTGTTCCGTAGTCTGGATATGCATGGTTTTGATAATCCCTTCCTGAATTTTTTCTCCAACAAAATGACAGTCAATCTCTATATGTTTTGTCATCTCATGGAATACAGGGTTTGCTGAAATGTCATTGGTAGCTTTGTTGTCACAGTACAAGCTAACAGGTTTTTCTGTTTGTACTTCCAAATCTCTTAATAACACTAGGATCTAGACAATCTTACATGTTGTTTTTACCATAGCCCTATATTCGACTTTTGCTGAAGAAAGCAATATTGTTGACTGCTTCTTTGTTTTCCAGGAGACAAGAGATCCTCCCAGTTTTACACAGAAACCAGTGAGCGATTTTCTCATCATTGGACACGTGCCCCAATCTAAATCATAATATGCTGTGATATCTAAATTCTCATCTCAAGGTAAAAGATGTCCTAAGGCAGGACATCCCTTCAAGCACTTGAGCACCTTAGTAGCTGCATCCATATGAGATTGCTTTGGCAAGTGGGCAAACTGAACATGAAGCGTATGGAAAAGATGCATTGTGACCCATTCTTTGATGAAGAAGGGAAGAACTTTTATTAATATTTGTATTACATTGAGAAACTTTATTTTTTGTAATACAAGACATAGAGTTATTAAAAACGACATCATTTATCCAATAGTATAGAACATTACGAACCTTACCAAAGCCCATCAATTTTCCAGTCAAAGGGTCCTGAAATTTACACATATTAGGAAGGAAATTTAAAGAACAATTGTTATCTTGGAAAATTTTGGATATTGAGATGAGATTAAAATGGAAAGCATGAACAAACAAAATATTGTGAGGAATTAAGTGTTTTGTGAGTTTGATAGTTCCTATGTGAGTGGCTAGTGCAATGGTTCCATTTGGCATATGAACAAAGGTGGATGATTTTGTGGATGTTTTGGAAAAAATATTTTGGATTGCAAATTAAGTGATCACCAGCACCTGAATAAATTATCTAGATATCATCTTTAACAAAATTGAAACAAAAAGATGTACCTGCATAGGATGTCGTGTTAGCTTGTGGAATCTGATTGAACATCTAAAGTAATTGTTGATATTGGTCCAGATTGATCATAGGTGCTAAAAGTTCATTTCCATAATTGCTATTTGTGGCAACTTCATTTACCGCTGTATTCCCAAATTTTTGGTTGGTTGGACACCCATGTAATTTTCAACAGGTGTCACGGTTGTGATTTTTCCTTTTGCAATAATCACAAAATACCTTTTTCCCTTACTTAGGCCCATTTGATCCATTGCTTTCATATGGGCCATTGGATCCATTAAAATTCTGGTCGTTGGATCCACTAAAGAAAGGAGAAGGCTTGTGGCCATTGGATGAAGCAGATGAATCAAGGTTGTTGGATCCATGTACAGCCCCATATAAAACAGTCTTTTCAGACAACCTTAGCCACCCAAACATTTCTCCCTTCACAGTTTCACTTCATTTTTCACATCACCATGAAAGAGACTTCTCCCTTGTTGGCAGATGTTGAACACAGCAAAATCGATGGCATGGAGTGGTGTTTGGGTGGTGGACCGCTAGCTCTTAGCTTGGACAGCCAGTTGGTAGGTTCAGCGGAGAGATGGCAGTAGTGCTGTCGCCAACATCTGTGTGCGAAAGGGGAGAAAACTCTTGTTCAACCCTATAAGAAAATGGACCAGTCTGTCACGATCCTTTATGCATTGAAAATGTTGGAGAACCGTTGATGGCCCTTCAAACGATTCTTCAATAGCATCTAATTCATTCCATATTGCCGAGAGGTGATTGAAATAAGAGGTTACAGGGAAATTACCCTATTTGATTTCGGCAATAGATTGCCTTATTAAAAAGTTTGGCGAGATTGAGCTGACCATACATTTCTTTGATGTTTTCTCACATTTCTTAAGTATTTTTCGTTTGAGGAAGTCTGGCGGCAATCTCCTAGGTCAGGGAGTTGCTAATCCATGCTCGAACAAGGGTGTTGCACCGAATCCAATGCTTGAGGAGATGTGGCTCGGCTGGTGGTGGAAGGTTTCCATCGATGAATACTTCTTTGTCTTTTATGATTAACCTTTGTCAGAAATCATGAGCCCAAGTGGCATAGTTTGTTGATCCAGTGAGGGGCTGTTTGATTAGCACAAGCTCAGATCTGTCAGATTCTGGCGAGTAGAGAAAATCTCTAGGTTCTGGTCATTTTGTAACGGCTGGGACTAATTGGAAAAACGGGTAGGAATTCTAACCCATTGGGTTCGGATTCTGACCCAAGAGCTTGAAAGGATTTGGGCCAATTTGAGTTGGGTCAGGATTCTGACCCATGAATCCAAAAGGATTTGGGCTAGTTGGAGTTGGGCCAATTGGAGTTGTTTGTTGGTTAAGTCCATCTGAAGTGGCTGTGGACTCATCTTGGTCCCCCAGTGATGGGTTGGCTAGGCTATTTTCTGGGCTGGAATTTTGGTTCAATCCATAAGAAAAAAAATCAATTGAAGTAAGAAAAACAACTAATCCGAGTACCTATTTGGCAAGTTCAAAACTGAGGCTAGAGAGGATCGTTTGACGAAAGCGAAATTATGCACCAAGATAATAGTAAGTGCTGAAAATGATTCAATATGCACTAGGAAAATTCCCAAAAAATTGGAAGGGTCACAAACAATCCCACTTAAAACCCAGCCTCCTTAGACATTTATCATCTTGTTGACATAATTTTCCTAGATATACATATAACCATATAAATAGCTACTGATTGTCCTAAACCTAGAGATGCAAAATTATGATAAATCTAACTGAGTATCTGTTTGAATTGTAGGGATAGAAAGAGAGGCTAGCTGAGAATTGTGCTAATCGAGTATCTGTTTGAATTATAGGGACACAAAAGAGAGACTAGTTGAGCGAAAGCTGATTCAACCTGGAAGCTCTGATACCATGTAAGAATCTAGGCAGAAGTAGAGGCAAGAGAGGTAATATAATTGCTGAAGTATGCCAAATAAAAAAGAGAGAAGAAATACTTCAATTGTATTTTGTATATTGAATTGTGTTGTACTCTTTACAAGTGATGAATTTGTACAAAAACTAAAGAGCTAACAAAGGAAATACAATTAAAAGGAAATCAACTACATGAATTTAGCATCAATCAATTACTTGAAATCAGCCTTGATCAATGATGCTAAATATCTTCAATTAGCCGTGATTCCAGCATGCATTCCATATTCCATCAGTTTATCTTTTTCCCCTTTATAGGATGGTGTTGCATAGAGTCAAAATTAGAATAGTCTCAATTCTTTTCCCCTGACGTATCAAATTGCACATATCCTCTGTCCTCATGACCAATTTAGTTGAGTTTCTCTCAACACATTTAGAGGTCGGATTGGGAATATGGAGCCAATATTGAGAGGGCAAAAGAAATTGTACCAATCACATACCTATAGGCACAAAAGTGCGTTAAATTAATGACATCAGGTAGCTAATCGAAGGTTCTGGCTTTAAAATAAGATATTCCCAGAACTTAAAAAAAAAAAAAAAATATTGAGCTAGTGGGTAATCAAGATTCATCTTCTACTCAGCTTAAAGTTGGGGATCTATAAAAATTATAATGCAGATAAAAAGTACCGCGCCTTAATGGCAGAAAGAGTCAAGGCAAATCTTTTAAAAATTCGAATATCAAAATATCATTTTTCTTTTTGCATCAATGCCAGTTGGCTCTACAATTATAGATTGCGGATTTTCTACTTCTGTCTACCTACTACCAGTACAAGTGACTGCCTATTTTATGCTAACACTCCTCTTAATTAATCAATTAATTTAAAGGAGCAGGGTCTATGCTGGCTGATTCAGAATACTGGTCGAATCTTCACCTTTCAACGGTTCTTAAATTCTCAAGGAACAACTCAGAACACTAGAGGAAAATGCGTCGCTTTTTTGCTTGAGGTACTCAATCTTCATTTCCCGTAAACACTAAGTTGGCTGTGTCTTGTAATTTAGTCCAATTAGGCCACATCTGACCAGTTAATGTTGTAGATATGAGTTACTTAGTATGATTTTATTAAAGAAAAAGCAGAGACATAAAGTTGTGACCTTCTATTAGTCTTTAATAATTTCCCAAGGAATTGTGAGATAAATTTCTCGTTTACATCACAATTCAACCCGATTCTAATGTTAAAAATGAAATTCAGGTAGGTCTAAAATCATATCTTAATATTTAGGTTTTCATTTAATAAAAAACGAAGAGGAAATGGAGTTCATTCAAATTCAAAATCCCAGCTTTAACACGTAATTTGATGATGAGGCGATGTTGCTTCCATGGATCACCAGTACTGTTGGTTTTTAGAGCTGGAGTATATTCAGAAATGAAGGCCAAAACAGACGAGAGAGAGAGAGAGAGAGAGTTGTAGAGGGGGAAAAAAAATTTGAACTGAAATTTTGCTCTACTTTTCATTCATAAAAGAGAGGTGTTTTATTCAAAATATCATCTACTGTTTCACCAATATTACAAGGGTATTTTACAAAATACATTCTTAACCATTTATCTAAAACCAATGCTGGTACAAACCATTAAAATAAAGCCTTAACAAGCAGCTGCTATCACCTAAAGCCATCACATTAACAATTCAAAAATGAAACAGCTTCACCAACTGCAATCTGCCCAGCAGCATTCAAACCTTACGCCAAAAACCTGCAAATTCAAACCTTACGCCAAAAACCTGCAAATTCAAACAGCAACATGTGCACATATTTCCAGCAAAATATCATCGGCTTCAACAAAGTACAAAAGGGCATACAAGAGAAAATTAAACAAGGCTTATAACTACAAAAACAGCAGTAGCAAAATACATTACTATTCGAAACATGTCTTCCGTGGATACATACATACATACATATATACATACAAAGTAACCAGGAAAAAAAAGAAAAAAACCAACTAAGCCACTTATTACACCGACCTGAAACTGACATCAAGAAGCCAAAACATTTATTCTTCAACCAAATATGAAAAAACTGAAAACATATCGACTTGATTCTCCTGTTTAGGAAGTTTTTGAGGATGTGCTGCTCTTAGCTTGAGATGAAACAGTCTCAAGTGTTGTTTATCTGTGACTGTGAACTCTGGTTTGAGGACGAGTCAGTAAAGAAGATTACGTGCTCCTGGCTGTCAGCAAATACTTGGAGAGATCTTGGAACTGGAGACTGCGTCACTTCCAAAAGCCCCTCAAGGATCTGAACCACTTGACTCATTGATGGCCTATGAGTTTCATCATCTTGGATGCACCAACAAGCCACTTTACAAATTCTGGAGAGCTCTTCTACATCAGCAGTGCCCTCCAGCTTTGGATCTAATAGTGTAAGGAGATCATCACCTATGGCAATTTGGTTTGCAGCCCAAGTTGGGAAGTATTTCACTTTTCCGTCTTCAAATTGCTCATAGTTTCTCCTTCCAGATGCAATTTCAAAAAGCATCATACCATAGCTGTAAACATCTGCTTTGGCTGTAATGGCCACTCCTGAAATCCATTCTGGTGCAAGATAACCTCTTGTCCCTCTCATGGTTGTTAGGACTCGGCTGAACTCCCTCCCGATAAGCTTTGCCAAGCCAAAATCTGCCACTTTTGGACAAAATTCAGCATCTAATAAAATGTTCTCTGGCTTTATGTCACAGTGTTTCCAGATGCAATTTCAAAAAGCATCATACCATAGCTGTAAACATCGCTTTGGCTGTAATGGCCACTCCTGAAATCCATTCTGGTGCGAGATAACCTCTGTCCCTTCATGGTTGTTAGGACTGCTGAACTCCTCCCGATAAGCTTTGCCAAGCCAAAATCTGCCACTTTTGGACAAAATTCAGCATTTAATAAAATGTTCTTGGCTTTATGTCACAGTGTATGAGCAATCTCTGCACTTATCATGAAGATAAGCCACCCTCTGGCGTCCCCAGTGCAATACTGTATCTTGTTTTCCAATCAAGAACCTTTAAATCCTTTTCAGGGAACAGATGGGAATTTAAAGAACCATCGGCATGAATCATAAAACCAATAACTTTTTAGCACCTTCAGAGCAGAATCCAAGAAGCCGAACAAGATTGACATGTTGGATATTCCCAATTGTGCTGACTTCTGTTCGAAATTGCTTCTCACCTTGACTAATGCTTTCAAGCCTCTTCACAGCTATGGCATTTGAATTGGGCAACATCCCTTTAAAACAGAACCAAAACCTCCACGCCCATTTCTCAGAAAAATTCTTGGTCGAATTTGCAAGTCCCTGTATGCAATGCCACCAATGAACCTTCCACTGCTTTGGCTGATTTGATCGTTCTCCTTCTCCTCAAGTACACAACCACAAAGAGGCCTACAGAAGTATGAGAACAGCTGACCCCCCAACAGCACCACCAACACCGTCCCTTGTTATTTCTTGGATTGGAATATCAGAGGCTGCAAGCTGATATAAATTGTTTTGCCATCTGTGTCATCTTGTGCAAGTCGTTGAGATTCAAGAGATCTCCCACCCAAACTGAACATGCGTTGTTTCATAAGCATAAGCAGTGCAAGAGCAGTTATTCAAGCATGTTGATTCACATTCCGCGATACTCCCTACCCGAAAAGACTGTGGTTTTTTAGGTAATACCATGTTAAAAATTTTAAAAACTTGTCACTCTTCCCATTGGCAAGACTATTATTTTGACAGCAGGTGGGTTTTCCTCACACAACCCCCAGAATGATCCCCCATCAAGTTTCAATCATGGTCTAATTTGGTTTAAAACCTGGCAAACAAGCACAAAAACGCTGAGTCTGCTCATTGCAGCTGCCAAATGGACCACAATAAGCGTAAACGTCACGGGTTGTCTCGGTTGAGACCAAAAATGAAACCAAGTCTTGCTGGCATTGCCCAGTACAATTGCTTAATTTGCCTGCTGAATCCATAACAAATCGAGATATGAGAGGGATCTATAAGAAAATACATGAAATAACTTTCATTCATTTGACACATAGGTGAAATTGAAAAAATGACGCGATACCATTTCAGGAACCATGCTGAAAATTTGACCATTCCATAAACCACTACTCCAGTACTGTTCGGAATAATCCACAATAACATATTGATCAAGTCCGCTTGGGTCTAACCCAAGAGAGAAGAGACCAGATGCAGGATCTTCTTTGGTCTTCCATGAAGTGAGAAGTTGGTTTTCCTTGGTCCGCTTGTTTGTCGAATCTTCATACCAGGGAGCCATGTATCAGTGGATTTTCAAAACTTTGCCATAAAGGCTCGACGAATTACTCGACCAATTTCTTAAAACAAGATTTCCTTCATCAAGAAAACTGCTTCTATAGAAGCTGAACTGTACTGTTGGTGGAGTTCAAATTTGTGGACCAAATGGTATTCTGGACTCGTTGAAAAGGACTAAATACCACTGATATTCTAACACTGAGGAAATCTATCAGAAATGGTTGTTTCTATTTGCCACCCAAACAACGTTTTTTTCAGCACTTTTTTGTCCAGATGCCTATATAGTAATTTGAAGAATTACCTGGCTTGAAGAAACCTAGTTCAAAGGTCCACCTCAGAGACAATAGTTCGATCACCAGAGAGAGATTGGTTTGCAAAGATGGTGTCAGCTCCCAAGGATACATTCGATTTTAGAGAGAAACACATGAAAAGAACAAAAACCATCAACCATGAATTGTTCTTGGTATCCATTGCTTTGCTGCAACAAATTCTTGCACAGAAATGAATTTTTCGGAAACCAGAGATCTAGGTGTAAATCAGCTGTGTGTTACAAAGAGAATTCTTTGACTTGTTAAGAGGTAGTTTATTCATTAATGCACGTAAAGCCGAAGTACATGTAATGTAATATACCAGCAAGAAGTGAATGCTGTATCTGACATCAATTTGGACGCTTTAGAAGAAAAGTCAAAGTTATGGCGTCAACAAATGGTCAATAGAAGACCGAAACACTGAAAAACGATGTTAATTATCTGTGTTACACTTACTAGTGCAACCACTATATTATAGTCAACAAAGCATTCAAATTAAAGCTACTCAAGTTAATGGTAATTAAGTAAAACTTATTTCCATCGTAATCTTTGTTTATAAAAACGGTAACTTAATCTATGCAAAATCTACAAAGTTTACCAAATACATTGACCCAGTATTTTATGATAAAGTGGTCATTAAGTAAGAATATGATATAGGTTATGGAAGGAGGAGGAGGAGAAATTAACACCGACAGAAGCACATGCATAAAACCAGCTACGTCTTAGTTTTCCTGCACGACATCTCTGAAACGCATCAATCCTTCCACCTCCCCTCCTGTTTATAACTTATTTGTTGAGTTTAATTACCAGTAATATAAACTTAATGAAATCTTCAAGAAATTACATCAAAATATGTGTATAATTTAACAATTAAATAAGTTGTAATAAAAGGAAATGAAATAATAGAAAATACTATTACAAATGTGTAGTTTGCCGAGATTATCTCCATTAACACCTTCATTGTGGCTGTTGTCTCGGTTCATTATGTCGTGCTTATCTCCATTAAAAGTTTGTCAAGTATGGTATATTTTCATCTATTTATATGTCAATTGCAAATTAGATCACATTGAGCACATACAAGAATTAAAAGACATAAGCGAATCAGCTAAAGAAGCTTAAGTCCTGAATATACCAACAGAATTTTATAAATTATAATTCCATAAAATTGGATACATTCTTCATGTTAGATCTTATACTTTTATCTACATTACAAGTGATAACTATATTTTGTCATACTAACCCATTCAACTCATTAATGGTAAGTAAAACTTACTTCATATCATAAAATTGTCATTATAATAATATTACTTACTATAAACACTTTCTCCGATTTTACGAAATACATTGACCTAATATTATGTGATAAATTTTAATACGCAGTTAATGATGTGACAAATATCAATCATATGGAAGAGGAATGCGAACACTATTATATGTTCAGTTTTGTTGATGCTTATCTAGTTATCCTATAGAATCCGAAATGCACATTTAAGTTGACCACTTCAAAGAAAATATCAACTTTAAAGTAATTGAATTTTTTATATCATTAATTGTCAGAATCCAATATGATAAATGAAAATCCATGAATGCCTTTGATTTCTTCGAGTTGGTATATAAAAAAGTGATTATTATATCAATTACATTTTAAATATTTTATTATGTGACATCAAACTCTATGTTAACATAAAACTCTTTCCACATGAGCCAGATTTTTTGGGCATACACTGCAGTGAATGCTTATAAAACATAGGGTAGGAGGTTACATTATCTGAAATACAATATTATTATTTTTGAGTAATTAGCTGACCCACCGACCAAAATTACGTGTCGATGATGTGGCTCGGCTACGATGAAGCAGCTGAAGGATTATATTCTGTGAATGCGGACTCTGGTTTGAGGATGAGGATGAGGCCGTGAAGAAAATATGTGGTCCTGGTAGTGAGAATATGTTGGATAGATCTTGGAATTGGAGACTGCGTCACGTCCAAAACCCCCTCAAGCTTTTGAACTACTTCACCCATTGATGGCCTTGAGTTTCATCATCTTGGATGCACCAACAAGCCACTCTACATATTTTAGAGGCTTTATATCAGCATTGCCTCCAGCCTAGTATCTAACAAGTTGAGGACATTAACACCCTCAGTTATTGCGCTAGCACCAAGTTGGGAAGAATTTCGAATTTTCACTATCAAATTGCTCAGAGTTTCTCTTCCTGATACAAGTTCAAAAAGCGTCATCCCGTAGCTATAAACATCAGCTTTATCTGTAATGGCAACTCCTGAAATCCATTCTGGCGCAAGATAACCTCTTGTCCCTCTTATGGTTGTTAGGACTCTGCTAAACTCCCGCCCAATAAGTTTTGCCAGGCCAAAATCTGCACTTTGGACCAAATTCAGCATCTAATAAAAAGTTTTCAGGCTTTATGTCACAGTGTATGATGCGGTCTCTGCATTTTCATGGAGATAAGCTAAGCCTCTGGCTGACCCCAGCGCGTTTGAATCTTGTTTTCCAATCAAGATTTTTGAGCCTTTTCATGGAAGAGAACGGAATTTAAAGAACCATTTGGCAGTATTCATAGACTAACAACCTCTTGTACCTTCAGAGCAGAATCGAGAAGCCGAACTAGATTGACGTGATTGATATTTCCTATTGTGGTGACTTCGTCCGGAATTGCTTCTCCCCTTGGTGATGCTTCAAGCTTCACAGCTATGACACTTGAATCAGGCAGCACCCCTTTGAAAACAGAGCCAAAAATCTCACCCAATCTCTCCGAAAAGTTCTTTGTCGCCTTCTGCAATTCTTTGTATGAAAACGCCACAACGAGCTCCATTGCTTTCGTTGTTTTAAAAGTTCTCTTTTCATCTCAAGTATGCAACCACAACAAGGCCTAGGAGAAGTACGAAAGCCGCTGAGCCACAACCACCATCAATGAATTTTCTATCGTCATTCCTGGGACTTGAAAACTCATATGCTGCAATCTTGATGTAAATAGTTTTTCCGTCTGTATCACCTACTGCAAGTTGTTGCAGATTCAAGAGACTACCAATCCAAATTGAACACTGGTTGTTTTATAAGCGTAAGCAGTACAAGCGAGTTATTTAAGCAGCTCGTTTCACATTGCTT